GTCATAAGGCCAATGAACAGGCAGTACACTAGCTTTTTTCTTGTCAAACACATCCCCAAAATCATGATACTTCTCAAGAAGACTAACAAGAAAAACATGCAAAGCAAAAAGGAAAATAGGTTCTTCATGAAGGAGTTCTTTCATAATGATTATGGAGATAGGAGGAGGTGTACGACTAAATGGAATGATGAAATGAGGATACTGTCCAGTGTAAGATGGAGGAGAGGAAAAAGAAGAGGGTGAAAACTTCATAGAGTCAGGAACAAAACCCTAATTTGAGTTTAGGGAACTTTTCCTGATTCAAACTCGATGAACAGCAGGGGAAGCCATGGGAGATGGTGATGTGGGAGAGATGAGCTGTAATTCCTTCTAACAAATCTGAGGCTGATGTAGTTGGAACCAAGGAAGACCGAGCACCACAAAGGAGGACTTGTTGTTAATGATGTTGAAGGCGATATCGGTGACGGTGGACTCAATATGTACTCGAATGGGCAACGTTTCCCTAAGTCCAGAAGATGGAGACACAAAATGCCCGCCGATTGCCTTCAACCCTCAGATCCCGTATGGTAGGAGAAAAAGGAACGTGATGTCGGGCAACAAAGTCCATGTTCATGAAGCAGGAAGTTGCACCCGAGTCCAGTAGCGCCAAAGCCTTGAGTCCTAATTGTTTGGTGAAAGAAAGGAGACATGGGACACAGAAGTTGCAGGAATTGGTGGTGGCTTTGATGAAAGGTGGTGAGGAGCTTGATAAAGAAGAAAAATGATTTTTATTTAGAGAGTCCAAACAGACAGCTCCTACTCTGTTTAGACAGGGTCGTTTCCCAACTGCAACAGAGGTGGACTTTGAGGCAGAGTGAACTCGAGCAGTCGGGGAGGCTTCTTGGGACACACAGCTGCTTTGTGATTAGGATCAACACAGTAGAGGCAAAGGTTATGAGATATTCGACATTGCTTCTCAACATGACTCAACTTCCCTCTAATGAGTCAAGGAGTACCAGAAATATCCATCGGGACCGGAGCAGTAGGTTTAGGAGTATGCCCCGAAGACTCAAGCTGGGATTCCTGAGTCTGGGACGGAAAAACAGTGGCACGGCGACTTTCCTGACGACGTTCAAAGAGACGATTGTCACATCGAATAGCTTTGTTGATGGTGTCCGACAAGTCCTTGGGATCCTCCATGGTGAGCAACAAATCCTTGACACCGTTGTTGAGGCCGAAACAAAATTGGTCAATCAAGGCTCGCTCATCCCACTAAGTGTCCAAGGCAAGGAGTTGGAACTCTATAGCATAGATCGAGGTAGGACAAGACCTCTGAGAGAGACGTCTCATCTTTGTGGTAGTAGCCCGAACCCAATCCGTCGCGCCAAAACATGCTTCGAGCTTCTCTTTGAACAATTGAAGATCCATCAGCTCCGGAACCACAACCCCTTTCATGCTCTTCTCCAGAAGAGGAGAAAACCATGACAAAGTTGCACCTTCGAGCAACGTCCCAATCGCACCGATTTGAGACTCGGGAGTGGGGTACCGCCAATATTGAAGTGCAAAGATCAGCTCCATTTGGTTCAAAAATCTGCGAAGCTCCGAACGCTTGCCTGAAAATTTCACCGGGAAACTCACTTTCGGTTCAGGAACTTTGCTGGATCCTTGAGCCGAAAGTGAAGCAAGCTCCTGCTGCATGCGAAGAAGGGTCACCTTCAGCTCAGTATTCTCAAACTGGATTTTTGCAAGGACTTCGGCAAAGAAATCAAGATGGCTTGGAGACTCCATCAGCAAAAAGAAAGAAAAAAAAAGGGGGAAAAAGATAAAGGCAATCAAATAATCAAAATGAGCTAAAGCAAAAGCAAAAAGCACAATCTGAATCAAATTGTCAGGACCCCCCAACAAAATCAAGACTGGAAAATGCAAAAGACAAAGAGAAAAACTAGTGGAAACAAAGAAGAGGCCTTAGACTGGCATTGATTCAGATTGTGGAGAAATGAAACAAGGCTAACTTATATATATTATAGGTTGATGAAGGTCCACCACTTTTGGATCGAGGACGGCCTAAATATAGCTGAGGTCGAGGAGGCGCCACATCAATATCAGGAATGTGGCTCGAGACTCAGGAATCGTATAGGAAATTAGAGAGTCAAGAATAGGGAAGTGTCTCGAGAGTCAGGAATAGGGAAGTGTCTCAAGAATCAGGAATGTGGTCTACAGGTCAGAAATCCGGCGAGAGTCAGGAATGTGGCAAGAATTAGGGGATTCCTAACAATTAACACAGATGGAGTGTGCTAGATAGATGAATTGGTTTGTGAGGTAAGATCTTCCCATTCTTAATGCAATGAAAAAGTTCACACAGATTAGGTCATATTAGCAACTTCTTCAGTTGCAAAGGTTCTGAAAGATTCTCTTTTACTGCAGCTAGGCTACAATAGCTATCCTAATGCTTTTCTTCTCAAGTTCATCCATCTAGGGTATGATCAATTAGTGGTGGTGCTACCTCTCACACTTTTGTCCTAAAACATGTGAATCCTTAGAATGGTGAGTTGAGGGAGTTTTCTTGAGTGGTGGTCATCACTGCCTAGAGTTATTATGGAACAAAGTTTAGCACGAAGGTATGGTGTGATTTGCTGGTAAGGATTCTGGGAATTCTCACTATTCACTAGTTTTTTTTTCTCACATATGCAGTTTGTCCTTTCCAAGTGCAGTGGTATGAATTTTGTCCGAAAAGAAAAATGCTGGCAATGCAATATCCATCAAACTTGGTGCTGGATAAAATACATGTATTGTCTCTTTTATTCTCTCTCTCTCCAAGTTTATATCAATTTGTTAACAATAAGAACTCCTAAGTAAAGTTCTATACACCCACAAAAGAGATGGGAACTTCTTTACCTCTTTGAGAAGTGAAAGTAAAGACATCATCATGTCAATTGAGTAAAATGGCATCACTTAGATAACAAACTACAAAAACAAACATGAGAAAGATTTTGAACCTAAAGATCTCTCTTTGTAAAAGCAAACACAAACATACTATGCAATTCATTTTCTTAGAAAACTCCATCAGCACCAACAACAAGATTTTTTATCTGCCCACATTCCTACAGCAATGCCATAGCATAGAGTAGACACTTATCACATTTGTGCCTTCCTTTGCTCTGTTCAATAACAAACAAAGATGTCCTATAATCCCATTAGTAGATAAAACATCATCTGAATTTTCCCAGGTACTATGGAAACCAAGGGTGCCTTGGACCTACAACCTGACAAGCTAGACAGTAGAGTTTACTATTATAGATTCTTATTCTTAAATTTTATATAAATATACTTTATGGATATAGGTAGCATGGTATAGAGTTTGGTTTTAGATCCAAGTCAAACAAAGAACAGAGATAAACATGCCCAATGAGGAGGTAAAACATATCTCAAATTGGTTTCCCACTATCCTTACTATACTTAAATTCAAAGAGTACAATAGTTGAATTTCTAGCTTTAAGAGGATACATACAAACACCTCTGTATATGCTCATCAGGTTGCTCCATGACCAAAACCAAGAGGCCACCCTAGCCAACAATAGATTATTGCAGCTCACTAGTTGTCTTGGGTTAGGTAGGTGACACTCATTAAAAATACCCTTCTCATTCATTGCATTAGGCAACTATTCATACCAGTGTCAGTGGTTACAAAAGGGTAATATTAATGGTAATGGTAATATTTTCTCTTGATGACTCAGCATGGCTCAGATATTCCTGTGTTAATCTCATAGGACTTTGGAAGATTCTGGTGGGATCTTGGCCGATCATTGAGAAACCCAAGAAAATTGTGCTGGAAAATATGTTCTAAAAATACCTTAATTAGCACTTTCTTGTTGTACTCAAAATAAACTTCTTGCTTAGTCCATAACAACATTGGACCACCTTCTATTCACAACATCTTAGAGCACCAAGAAAACAATGTACAGAAGGCATTTAACATGCTTACTTAACCCCTCAATCTTGTTCATCTTAAGCATGGTTAACCTACTTGAAGAACCATACACACACACAGAGAACAAAATTCAAAAGTTCCTGAAGATGGTGGAACATAGAAAACACAAAATACATTTAGTCTACTATGATTTGAAGTTGTTATCTTTTCATGAGATCTATTTTTTTCTAATTAAAAAATCTAGAGAAGTTAACTTTCTAAATGTTCTAAATGTATTCTCATGTTAGTCCACTAGAACTAGTAAAATTCTTGATCACCACAAAGCTTTGTAGTTCACAAAATAGAGAACATTAGCTAATTGAGTCAGATATAAGATAAAATCAAAATTTTGCATGAACAGGTTGATCCAATCAGTTGTCTGTAAAGTTTTGGACTTACATTAAAAGTTAAAGAAAAAAGAAATACACATTGTCTTGCTAAATTTTGCAATGTAGTTGGTGAAATGGCTTCAAGTGGGTGCCTTGAAGGTTGCATTAGTTGTTGAGACAGCCAAGTCCTTGGACCAGTCGAGGAGATTAGAGCAAACTGATTAAGAGACGTGCAAGAGTTGTGATTAAGGAGTGGTTACAAAGCCATTCTTTCTCTAGATAAATACCTCCTCTTTTGCAGAAAGGGTGGCTATGACAATGAGATGAGAAAGAGCTGCAAACTCACAGCCAACAACGCTCATGTTTGGTTTTCAGAAACTCAGTACAAGCTGCAATCAAGGAGTGTTTGGGATGTGGCGACTAGCAATCTCACAGTTCCTAAGGACTGCATCTGTGAAGGAGGTGGAGGAGCACAGCAAGGCAGCCTTGGCATATCGTGTTACTGATGCCAAAGCAAGGAGTCTCATCAATCTGGAGCATATCATAGGGAACAAAGTTGGATTACAAGCTCAAATGGATATCTGGGTGTTTTAAATTGCTTGGCAGCAAGAAAAAACCAATGGTGGCTGTGAAGCAGAATATATGGCCATGGCTGCTGCTACAAAAGAAGGAAGCTCTTTGGGCTGGAAGGCTTGTTGAGGACCTAAGAGTGACACAGCAAGCACCGACTCAACTTCTCAGCGACAACACAGCTTGTGTCCAGGTAACCCACAATCCAGTTCTCTACGGGACAACTAAGCACATTGTGAGTCGGGATCACAATGCAAGTGGTCTGAACTGCAATGCCATCTCTGGCGAGCTTCCTACGTTGGGGTTTTGCAACCTTACTCCAAGGAGAGATCCTGAGTTTATCAAACTTGCAAGTCCTTGATCTGTCCAGGGACAGCTTGAGTGGCACGATTCCCTGGGTGGATCTTTCATGAGTGTTTGATCAGCTCAATGTAAATTTATCTTGGCATTTTACCAGCTCTCCTTTGCTCTACACTGAATTGTTAGAGAGGAGAACGTATGGCGATGAGTTACAAGGATCAAGCTTGAGAACCGACGTTCCAGCTCGTCCTCCTCGTGATCTATCCTTGTGGCTGCTACACGCTGATAACAGCGTCATCCACGCCACATCGTTGGGCTCCACGGGCATGGCGTAGATCAGCTCCTCGGCATCCCGCGCCCAGATCGCCCGAGAAGATTGATCATGCAGATGAAGTGCAGCAGCAATGGAGCGCAATCGAAATCACCCATCATCCACGCGAGGTATTTGATCGCCATCTCCAGCGACCCAGCGTGGCTGGATCCAAACAGCACGCACTGGAACGTAATATGATCCACGCGCGCGCCATCTTGGATCATGACAGCAAACAGATCGAATGCCTCGACTGGATGCCCGTTCTGGGCATATGCTGCAATCATCGCGTTCCACGAGACACCACTGGGATTGGTGATCCGATCGAAGAGCGATCGTGAGCGATGGAGCTGGCTGCACTTGGCATACATGCGGAGCAGCGCAGTAGTCACGACGACGCTCGCGAATTCCAGCCCATTGGCGGAGAGATCGTCGTGGATGCTCTTTCCCGCGCTGGGCGACGCGAGGGTGGAGCACGAATCAAGCGCGCAAACGTATGTGATCTCGTCCGGGTGAACGCCCTCGAGATCCATGAGCCAGAAGAGCTTGAGCGCGGACCCTGGATCGCCGGGCTGGAACGTGCATCGCGTTCCACGCCGCGAGATCCTCGTCCTGCATCTCATCGAAGATGAGGCACGCGCGATCGATCTGCCCGCTCTGCGCCAGCGCCGCGATCATCGGCGTCCACGAGATCACGTCCCTGGCTCATTACCCAGAAGAAACGCTCCATCGCCTGTTGCGCGCGCACGCCGCCACGATCGCGTTCCAGGCCGTCATGTCCCTCTGCGCCATCGCCGTGAAGATCGCCATCAGATCGCCGGCCTTGCTGTACATGTCGAGGAGCGTGGTGGCCAGCACGGGATCGTCTAGCGATGATCCCTCGAGAGCACTGTGATGGATCAGCTTACCAGTAGCAAGATCGCCGCTGGTAGCGCAGGCGCTAAGGATCCCCACGAATGTGATCCCGTCCGGCCTCGCACCCTGGAGATCCATGCGCTTGAAGAGATCGATGGCATTACGCATTTGCCCATGCCCTGCATTTGCTGCAATCAAAGCGTTCCAAGACGCCACATCATTCTCAGGAGAATAGAGGAACAGATCTTCTGCTAGAAGAATCATACCATTCTCTGCGCATGCGATGATCAAAAGATAGTGTATGACACGACGCTTGCTCCGGGGATCCTCGCAAGAACAGATCTACCATACAGAAAATCCCCGCCTTGGGCAGTTGCTGTGAGGAGGATTGTTCCATGAGATAAGATCTCTTTTGGGCATTTTGGCGAAGAGATCTCTCGCGCAGGCCGGTCTCCCCGTAAGCCTGGAGCATCGCATTTAAGGAAACGATCGTCCAGTCGGGGATCTTCGCGAAGCAATGCTCCGCGAGCTCGCACTGGCGCCGCGCTGCTCCATGTCATCGAAGAGGCCCTCGAATCCTCGAAGCTCCCAGCCTGCGCACACGCCGCCAGGACGATCGTCCACAAGAAGATGTTCGTGGAGGGCATCCAGGCGAAGATCTCCTTGGCAGTGGCGAGATCGCCACTCTCAGCGAAAGCCTGCGCGATCGAGTTCCATGGGTGTTCGCATATGCCGGGAGGACCGAGTTCTTCAACGAGGAGTCCCCCGAGGCAGTGCGGAGATTTCTTTGCCCTTATTTGTTTGCACAGAAATTCTCGCTGATGTGCAATCGCAAAAGCTTTTTTCGCTTTTCATCTCTTTGATTTTACATTCCCTCGATTTTGCAGAAGAATGCATTCGAATGGGAATACGAAGGAATACACCACTCCCCGGATGCCATTCGAATTACACAGAGCACTGCCAGATTAGATTTGAAACTTTACCATCGTCCCTTCATCTCCATCGACTGTTTGTCTGAGTACCGAGTCAAGCCACTTGGGAAGACTCCGTGGTCGTCTAACCCAGACGACCCAACTGCGCCACAATAGACCATGCACCCGTCGACTCCACTGGCCGCGAAAAAAAGAAATTTCATGATCAAATACGATACCATTGCTGAGATTTGAACCCTTGCCCGGCAGCACAGAAGGAAGACGTCGACTTAGACACGGCACTGAGGACAGCTGCTTTTACTACAGGACTAAGCCCACGGGACGCGGAAGAATTTTGTTAACTATTGTCATGAGAGGGTAGAATGCTTAGTTTTTGTATTAAAGACATTAAAGAATGTATATACACATTTCATTGAATCCTTGCGGCAAAACAGCGACAGAGTGGAGTTGATAAAATTTTCCCTCTATATATTTTATACTAGGGTGGGTGCCAACTCTAATCTTTGAGCCTCACAGTGAACGTGCAAAACATGTACACAAGATCCTTGTCATGATCGAGCCTTGGTGGTTATGGATCACAACCAAGCAGGCTTTGCATCCCATTATATATATTATTAGGTTGTACATATGTTTCTCTCATCAACAATGGCCAGTGTTGTGACCGTGTTGGGGTCTTGGACTGTCAAGCCCGAAACTCCGACTCCACAACCCCGGACTCACAAGCTCTCCAATCTCGACTTCCACATCTCCTTTGAGAATTACACCAAGCAAGTCTACTATTTCCCGCCATCTAGCAGGGATGATCTTGTCGCGAGCTTGAGAACTTCGCTGTCCGGAGTGCTTGTCCCGTTTTATGTCTTGGCAGGGCGGGTGCGCAGGGCGGAAGATGGTCACAAGCTGGAGGTGGATTGCAACGACGCTGGCGTCTCGTTTGTGGAGGCGAGTGCCCCCGATGCCAGCTTCAGCGATTGGAAAAACATGGCGTTTTGCTCCATCGAGCAGCATCTCAATCCTTCGGAAGTGGCCATTACGGATCCAGACACTGCTCCGATCTTCAAAGTTCAGGCAGGTTTCTTGATATCGCAGTTAATTCTTCAATATTTCATGGAATTCCTGAATCTAGGTGACGAAGTTCAAGTGTGGTGGGATCGCATTAGGGATCTTAACGGCCGAAGTGGTGCTGGATGGATCCTCATTCTTTGCGTTTGTGAATGCTTGGTCCGAAATCCACCGAGGCCTGCCGCTTTCGAGGCCTCCGGTATTTGCCTCTAACATTTTCCAGGCCAGGCAGCCCCCAGCGATCATTCTGCCAGTCCGCGACTACTACTCCTCTCCGATCTATAACACTCACTCGGCCAAAGCAACCGACGTAACATCCGAGTACGCAGTGAAGATGTTTGAGATGGATCCTGACCAAGTCGACGATCTTATCCGTGACGTTCACAGTGGTCCGTACAGCTATGGCCGCCCTCCAACCTCGTTCGAGGCAACGAGCGCCATGATCTGGAAAGCTATCACCGAGGCCAGAGATCTCCAAGACTCGATCATCACAAGCTACGTCTATGCGATCTCTCTCAAGGGCAAGAACCGCTGGAACCCCCCAGTCCCAGCCTCGTACATTGGCAACAGCATCCACTCGCCATGCCTCACTGCCAAGGCCGGGGACATCAAATCCCGCCATCTCTCCTACGCTGCGAGGCTCTTCCACGAGGATATCCTAAGCACCACTCAAGAACACATGCAATCCGCCATCGATTGGATGGAGATGGAGCTGGGCAGAGGAAGGAAGATCAATCTAAATGGTGATTTTGTGTCGGGGACTGGGATCTACAGCACGAGCTTGCACAGTTTCCCTGTGTACAGCGTTGATTTTGGATGGGGAAAGACTGTACACTACTCTCTGGTAATGCAGCCGCCGTGGTATGGGAACGGTGTCACGGTGATTCTCCCCAGCCCGAGAGGAGGAAGGCACCGGCGGCTGCTCATCTCGCTACCTGCAATCCATATGAAGAAGCTCGTGAACCATGAATTCTTCCGCAAGTATACTACTCTGGGATCGTAGGAAAGATCACTGGTTCATATCTATGGGGTTTGAGAATTGGTGTTGGTAATTTATTTATTTGTAACCTTATGCAACGAACCAATCAAATATTACTGCAACTGTCGGATCTTTGGACCGGGGCCGGGAGTGAAGTCTTTTGCTTTTGGCCAATAGGACCATTTAGCAAGAGAAGAAAAAATTGCAACATGTATCTTGGGGTAAATATAGTGTTTTTACGGTGATGAGCTGGGGGAGCAACAGCTCTCACATGGCAGCTCAAGGGCAATTGCCTGTGAATTATATTAGCCAAAGACATAATTGGCACGATTTTTTATGTTTGCGAATCTCAATAACGTTTGCAGTCTTTCTCATGCTCAAGTTTTTGCCTTTGAGACTTCTTTAGATCAGTGCCAATTGATATTTATGGTTGCCACATGAAACCCTTATGAAATGAATTCTTGGGTACTATCAATTACTTGTGCTATTGAGCATGAACTGGACCAAGAACTTGCCTCCCACAGAATTTGCAAAATGTGTGTATTGGTAAGGTAATTAATTTTTTTTTATCTTTGTGTTAAATTGTGGAATGAGGGTGGCTTTTCTCTGAGCTGTGGCAAATAGGTCGCCCATGACAATGTGTATGTGTTGGATATGTCCAATACGTTGCACTACACCACGCACTCTCAGCTTTCCATTTTGCAAAATTTTTCACATTTTGTTTCTTTGGCATAAGTTTAATTTTTTACAAAAGTAATATTAAAAACTACAAAGTATTTGGTTCATCTTTTTGGTTTGCTTAAGTAAACCTGTGGTAGTGGATATACCTAGAATATATTTGGATATTTTAGGATATTCTACCATCTAATGGTTATTTTTCATTTAGATTAATCTTGTATTTATAATTTATAACCATTTATAAACTTTATTAAACCCTTTCTAGTATATTCTTTTTTATTCTACCATCTAATGGTTGATATGCAATAAGATTAATCGTGTGTTTATAAATTACAAACATGTTTATAATTATAATTTTATTTGATCAATTGGATTAATAAGTAGGAATAACACTACTACATGCAACATATAGCAAATTATTTTGATTTTCCTTAGAAAAAAAGGTTTTTTGGATTGTTATACCTTTATCCCTTTTTATATGAATAATCTTACTTTAATACCAAAAAGGTATTTACTCATTTAAGTTATGTGATGCATAGAATATTTTTAATTTTTATACATTTTTATTTATCCACCCTTTGGTGGGTCCACAATATGATTTCTCAACCTCCCTATTTTGAGTTCATGCTAGGTTTAGAAGAGTGTTGGTACCTATGGTTTTGAGAAAAATGGTTTGGAAATACCAGCACATCTTAGCTTGCAAGAATAGACAAAAACGCTATATGTGTGGTTTGTTTCTCTATGACCTAATCAACATTTCATCTTGCAACAGCAATTGTTTGAGATCCAGGAGTCTAGGAGGCTCCCCCAACTCTCAAATCACATGTTTGGACCAACTTTGGTTTCCATGGTTTTTGGAAAAATTAGGATGATCATTTGCTTGTCAATAAGTGCATGATTGTTTTTAGGTTGTTGTGGTTGCTCTAGAACACACACACACAAGCCCATCATCTACAAGGAGGATCACAACATCTTTATTTGTTATTGGACAAAGCAAGGTAAGACACAAATGTGGCAAATGTTTGCTCTCATATATAGGTCTATGTTTGTATGAACAATGAGAGTGAGCAAGAATGTAATAGTCAAAGATCTTGCAGTTTCAAGACATCAATGTAGATGAAGTGTGCTAGGTAGATGAATTGGTTTGTGAGGTAAGATCTCCTTGTCTTGATGCAATGAAAGAGTTCGCACAGATTGGGTCATGTTGGCAGCTCCTTCAGTTGCAAAGGTTTCTACCTCTTGAGCAGGAGAAAAAAAAAATTTAGTTCCAAGAGATTCTCTTTTATTGCAGCTGGGTTGCAACAGCTATCCTAATGCTTTTCTTCTCAGGTTCATCCATCCAGGGCATGATCAATTAGTGGTGGTGCTGCCTCTCATGTTTGTCCTGTTAAACATGTGAATTTTTGGAATGGGGTTTTCTTGAGTGGTCATCACTGCCTAGGGTTTTTATGGGACAAAGTTAACATGAAGGTAGGGTGTGATTTCTTGGTAAGGATTCTGGGAATTCTCATTTCTCACTAGTTTTTTTCTCTCACATATGTAATTTGTCCTTTCTAGATGCAACAGCATGTAGTTTCTCAGAAAATAAAATGCTGGCATTGCAATATCCATCAAACTTGGTGCTGGATAAATACATGTATTATCTCTTTTATTTTATCTCTCTCCAAGTTTATATTAATTTGTTATGTAGGCAGTCTATATAGCAAATGCTCAAGTTGGAAGTCTAGAGAGACTATTACCCCAAAATCTATAAAGTGAAGCTCCAAAAGTATATATAGAGTAGGATGATAAATGTGAAGATGGATCTAGGGCAGCTAATAATGAAGAGCTTTGAGTGAAATCCTTGCAAATTTTTTTTTAGTCTAGGCCTTGGGAAGCTGGGAAAGAAAATTGTGAACAACCTTTCACATTTTGACTCTAAAGTTTTATGTGAGTCTCAAGCCAGTAAAGTGGTGTAAATAGTAAATATTAAACTTTGTGTTGCTATTCCCTAGGAAGGTGAATATTGTCCTAGATAAAATTGGTCATAAACCAAGTTCTTTCTTCTCCTGGAATTATCAGAAATTAAATTAAATTTAAAATTAAATAACTTCTGAATGAACTCAAGTTAATTAGTAAAATCTACAGCCAAATTATTATGTTTTTGATTAATAATTTTACTAAGAGTTGGTATAATTGATTGTAAACAATTTCGTCCTAGATTTTTTTGGGCAATACTAAAATAATAATCTATAACCATAAGGAGGAGTTGCTAATTGTTAGATCCAGCCAATGGCATGGGTAACTATCAAAGGGTTATTTGTTAACTATGTCTTACTGAATAATACTATAGAGGGAGGTTGCTGATTGTCTAGGCGAGATAAGAAGTTGTTATAGCACATGTCATAGGCATGTGTTAACTGGGATTGACACTCAACTTTTTAAACTGTCAATCCAGCCAATGAAGGTCATTTTTTTAACCATGTTTTAGCTAATTTCTATCCTAAAAGAAAAATTGCACTTACTTGGGCAAGATGGGGATTCTAGGGCATTTTCTATGGGTGTGCAATGGCATCATAAGTGAAGGAGTATATTAATATTTATGCTCAGGAAAATTAGTGATGTCAAGTTAATCAAGTCAATGGTATCTCCTAGTTCCCCATAATGCTCAAACTCATTGACTTTAAAAGATTGGTTTCAAGCTAAATTTTAAGTATTTTCAAAGATTGGAAAATGAGTCTTAGCAATGTGTGTTTTGTTAGAGTTCACTGGCTCAAAATCATCATCTAATCAAAAGCAATTACCCATGCTCTAGGATGGGCACTTATGATGTGTTACATTGCAGTAGATAAGAGACTAGAGGAAGCTCAAAGAAAAGAAAGGATTGATGGCATAGCAATTTTGATGGTGATGTTTTGGTATATTGATTAGTTTAAATATTATTATTGTGATTAAAATTATCACTTTAACTTTAGCACTATCAAAAATTTCTTGATTTTCTATAAATGGATATTGGTATTCTCTTGACCATTTAAGAAAATTGAAAACCAATTACTTTATTTTTACCTTTTCTAAGATGTATAATCTTAAAAAAAGAAGTCTTTGTGTTAGTGGTGGAAGGCTTTGCCAACCACCCAATATTTACTAGGAAATTGCTAATATTTATATAGGTAAAATTTAAGAATAAGAATCTATGCCTTTTGCAACTATCAGATTGCAAGTCCAAGCCAGCCTTAGTTTCTATAGTACCTAGGAAAATTAGGATGATGTTTGTCTACCAATGGAATTCTAGCACATCTTTGTTTGTTATTGGATAGAGCAAGGGAAGGCACAAATATGATGAGACCATAAGGGACAATTGGCACTAAACTAAAGAAGTCTCCAACACAAAAACTTTGAGCATGAGAAAGACCACAAAAAGATATTGAGATTCCCAAACATAAAAAATCGTGCCAATTGTGTCTTTGGCCAATATAATTCACAGCCAATTGCCCTTGAGCTGCCCTATGAGAGCATGACAGCTGTTGCTCACCCAGCTCATCGCCCAAGATACATGTTGCACTTTGTTCTTCTCTGGCAAAATGGTCTGCAAAGATTTGATTGGTTCATTGCATAGAAAATCTCTAAAAGAAAACAAATAATATATAAAGAGTAAAATAAGGTTACAAATAAATAAATTACCAACACCAATTCTCAAACCCCATATGAACCAGTGATCATTCCTACGATCCCAGAGTAGTATACTTGCAGAAGAATTCATGGTTTACAAGCTTCTTCATATGGATTGCAGGTAGCGAGATGAGCAGCCGCCGGTGCCTTCCTCCTCTTGGGCTGGGGAGAATCACCGTCACACCGTTCCCATACCACGGCGGCTGCATTACCAGAGAGTAGTGTACAGTCTTTCCCCATCCAAAATCAACGCTGTACACAGGGAAACTGTGCAAGCTCGTGCTGTAGATCCCAGTCCCCGACACAAAATCACCATTTAGATTGATCTTCCTTCCTCTGCCCAGCTCCATCTCCATCCAATCGATGGCGGATTGCATGTGTTCTTGAGTGGTGCTTAGGATATCCTCGTGGAAGAGCCTCGCAGCGTAGGAGAGATGGCGGGATTTGATGTCCCCGGCCTTGGCAGTGAGGCATGGCGAGTGGATGCTGTTGCCAATGTACGAGGCTGGGACTGGGGGGTTCCAGCGGTTCTTGCCCTTGAGAGAGATCGCATAGACGTAGCTTGTGATGATCGAGTCTTGGAGATCTCTGGCCTCGGTGATGGCTTTCCAGATCATGGCGCTCGTTGCCTCGAACGAGGTTGGAGGGCGGCCATAGCTGTACGGACCACTGTGAACGTCACGGATAAGATCGTCGACTTGGTCAGGATCCATCTCAAACATCTTCACTGCGTACTCGGATGTTACGTCGGTTGCTTTGGCCGAATGAGTGTTATAGATCGGAGAGGAGTAGTAGTCGCGGACTGGCAGAATGATCGCTGGGGGCTGCCTGGCCTGGAAAATGTTAGAGGCAAAAACCGGAGGCCTCAAAAGCGGCAGGCCTCGGTGGATTTCGGACCAAGCATTCACAAACGCAAAGTTTGAGGATCCATCCAGCACCAGTTCGGCCACTAAGATCCCCAATGCAATCCCACCACACTTGAACTTCGTCACCTAGATTCAGGAATTCCATGAATATTTAGGAATTAACTGCGATATCAAGAAACCTGCCTGAACTTTGAAGATCGGAGCAGTGTCTGGATCCGTGATGGCCACTTCCGAAGGATTGAGAAGCTGCTCGATGGAGCAAAACGCCATATTTTTCCAATCGCTGAAGCTGGCGTCGGGGGCACTCGCCTCCACAAACGAGACGCCAGCGTCGTTGCAATCCACCTCCAGCTTGTGACCATCTTCCGCCCTGCGCACCCGCCCTGCCAAGACATAAAATGGGACAAGCACTCTGGACAGCGAAGCTCTCAAGCTCTCGACAAGATCATCCCTGCTAGATGGCGGGAAATAATAGACTTGCTTGGTGTAATTCTCAAAGGAGATGTGGAAGTCGAGATTGGAGAGCTTGTGAATCCGGGGCTGTGGAGTCGGAGTTTCGGGCTTGACAGTCCAAGACCCCAACACCGTCACAACACTAGCCATGGTTGATCATAGGAACATACACAAACGTAATATATATATATAGCAAAGTTTGTACAGTTATAAAATCTTAAAGGTAAAGGTATTTATATTTATTGTTTTATCTTGAATTTAGTTTTGCATTTTTATTAGTTATAATAATCATTTAAATAATGGGTTTAAAGTAAAAAATGATACGGGTTTGAAGTCATAGAGCTAAAGAGCCAATCCAGCTTTTCCTACAGGCATTCTTCCAGAACAAAGAAGAGCATTCTCTTTCGTAGTCCAAGGCCCACGCGAAAGAAACCAATGGCCTAATGAAGAGGTTAAGGGCAAGCCCGTACTGAACTAGTACAATCTGGAGGACTCTTTTGTCCGATGTAAGTAGTATACAGGTTTCTTCAGAACTGTACAGACCACGTTAGCCACGTGCGTTTATCAATAAGATTGTTACCAAGAATTAAACTCGATCGGACAGTTGCCAATGGTGCGATGACCAGCGAATATAAAGTTTAAACAATAGAAATTAGATGCGAACTCACAAAGCTATGGGTTCCACATCGAGAGCTGTAGCGAGCTGTAGCTCTGGAAAAGCATCACATGAAAGAACCATCACCTCTAATAACTCCTCTCAGAATCGTACTCGCCTGCCACCAGGGCAGATTACTTACAACTTGCAATATCGTACTCGTCCTCCCTGCCTGCAAGTGGGCAGCCAGTTGAGATTATTCTGCCCTTGTGAAAAGTGTGCACATCCTGTGCCGTGGGGAGGATCAAATACAATTCCGTTTCCGGGATTTGAACCAGGGTCGCCTGGATGAAAGCCAGGCATCCTGACCCGAATAGACGACGACGGATTAGAGACCTCAGCTAAAATAACAGTAGTTTTATTATCAGATTGCTTCACCAGAAGACGTAAGATTGATCGAAGTGTCCCTTCCTACAAGCACAGTACAAAGAGGCTCTGAGCGATTTTAGATTTTGATGGGAGTAAGTACCCGTCTCGGCCGGAATAGATTGGCGAATAGTTGTAGATCAATAGCTGCTCTTCTTCTTCCCAAGAAGCTGTGTGGCTTGACTTCAGAGCCTCGCTACTCAGACAAACAGTCGACAGTTTATCCTGTCTAATGAGAAGGTGAAGAGAATTACCTGACGAAGAAGCTCGCGGCGCTCTGTGTAATTCGAACGGCATCCGGAGAGTGAGGTATTCCTTCATATCCCCATTCGAAAGCATTCTTCTGCAAAATCGAGAGAATATCTAAACAAAGAGGTGAAAAACGAGAAAAGCTCTACCTCGGGATGCCATTGCACACTAGTTACTGGATACTTGCGCCCTTCAATCGTCGAAATATATATCTGAAAATCCAAAGGAACTGATGGCTCAAGAGATTTGGCACCGAGAATTACCTTTCCATTCAGGTCAGGAGTTGTAGTTAGCACGTCGAAGAAATCTCTAAGGCGCTGTGTGTCTCTCCAAGCCTGTGGAGATAGACCTTTCTGCAATCCAAGCCAAAGAAATGAGAAGAAGAAAACACAAAGTAAGTGCTGAGAACCTTACAATGTGATTCTGCATTGCAAGCTTCTCGTGCTCCACCTTGTCCAGAATGTCCTTAGGAAACCTGGACAAAGAACACTTCACAAGCACATACAAAGAACTGACTCGTTACCACGTAAACATGCTGCGCCCTTTGGCCCAGTCGCCCACGAAGTTTAGCTCTCCAGCAGCTTTGTGTGCGTTGTAATCGTCCAGGATGGAATGGTTGCCACTGACGATCACGGCTAGAAGTTCCAGACCCAAGCACGTCCCAAACACGGGAAAATAATCTCCCTTATCATTTGCTTCCAGTGCCCTCTACAAGATCAAACTAAACAATCAAAGACTCTAGTTGCAAAGTCACTATCATGAATACTCCTGGAAAAAACAATGGACGAAGAACGAACAAGACGCATTCCAAAGCTAAAGCAAGAGGGAAGAACACAAACCTTGAAGAGAAACTCGCCGGCGCGGTAGTAAGGACCATCTTGCAAGCTTGCGCTCCCACCAGCGAACAAAATGCCATTGATCAGCGAGAATTTCTGTGCAAACAAATAAGGGCAAAGAAATTTAGCTGGAAGTTACCTTCGCTAGCGTCTCCCAAGGCTCGTTGTAAAGCAAAGGAACGGCGCGAGCACCCCCGGCCTCGACGAATTTCACATACGAGGCAGCGATGTAAGATATGTTGGAGCGCCTGGGATCGCCGGGCTCCAGCCTGTTGATGTAGCTCCTGCCATCGCCATCGCCAGGCTGAGTGAGAATCCCTATCAGCGGCCGCTTCTCTCGGGATTCTTCGGGTAGCTGGATGATCCTAGCGGCGGCGATCGCAGCGAGCGCGAGGAAGATCGCTACAATGGCTCCTGCCATGGCGACCCTAGCGTAAGAGCCCTAATTCGCGGGAAATTCTCGTCCGCGTCAATTGCTAGAGCAGCGGACACACACAAGAAACAAGCAAAGATCGAGCGCCGCCAAGAGCCAGAAGAAGTAGTTCATATGGTGATCGATCCAGCTCCCGCGTCCGCCACCCTTGCTCGTGATCTTCTCCACCGCAAGAACAAGAACACTACTCTCTAAATCCTTTTCCACCCCCGCCACAACCATGGCCCTTTGCAAGCAGGTCAATTCGCTCTGTTGACCGGTCAACATGCGAAGAACTGGGACGAGAAAGCCTCTCGTCAAGCGGCACTGTGAGAATGACGGGGCGAGCGATGCCGGGAGCACTTTGAAGCCGGAGATGCGGTTGCGCATTTCTTGCCCCTACTGCACGAACAGCGTGGATGAAAACGGTGGAGAAGCATTCTGCTGCGAGCGGCGCTGCTAAGATCGCACTGGCGGCGGCATTGTTCTGCAAGCAGCAGTGCTAGATCGCAGCAGCAGTGGCCGCGATCGCAGCTCGAGGAGATCTAGCCGGTAAGAGACTGATATTGCTGGCGTGACTCGATGCAGTGGAATGAAGCCTAGGGTGTCTGCTGTCCCATGGAAGACACCCCAGCATCCATTGCCCCTGAGATCCTCTTCTCACAACACTCAAACTTGCACACGAGTCTAGCTGCCTGAAGTAGAACTTCGGATAATCCAAAGTTTCTGGGAAAGGTGTTTATAGTAGTCACTTCAGTCTAGATTTAAAAAACTTCCGGACCTTCTAGCAGAGCAGAGCCACTGCCTCACAGATAAATCCGAGGTACAACTTGTAACCATGGTATGTGCTACTTCTCTGCCCCCCTTTTCATTTGTGATGTTGTTAATCCCCCTACAACAACCTTTACGTAGACCAAATAGCAATGTACGTGACCTATCAAGTAAGACCGGCTTCTCAAGCCAGCTCTTGAATGTATGTTTTTCTGCTTGTTTAAACAAAATGCAACCTGCATGTGCACTTGCAAAAATGAAACAATCAAAGCATAGCTTTTTATAAATGTTCTTGCTTGTGTATGAGTAGAGGTCAGACAATCCAAGAGCCATAATTCTTTGGCTCGCCAACATGGCGCAAGAGAAACCCTGGTGATTCTCCAGCGATATCCTTGTGATTAGAGCTGCCAATGCAGCTGTATGTCACTGCATGTAAGAATGCCCACTTGAGGCTGGCCAAAACGCTGGGAAAGAAGAAATGTAAATCAAAGAGCTCCTTGCGTGTAATCTTGTCTCACAAGCCACGATTCAATGGATATGAAGTGCAGCCACGTGTTGCAAGTTGGTTTCCCCCATAGCACCAATGAGCTTCTTCCATTCCAGCCAGTGTGCCCACTTTTAATTGGCCATCCATACATCAACCATAGGAGCACCAAATTCTTCCATATAATCTTTTATAGAGATTTGCTATACATTTGGTCCAGATGCAATGAACCAAGCTGGTAGGCATTAAGTAAAACACAATGTCCTCGAGGTATGTATCGGAAATATAAACTTTTACATTTTTAAGGATTAAATCCTTGTATTTAAAATAAAATTATTCTATTAAAAATCCTTCGTTCAAGAAAAAAATTACCAACACCAATATGAACCAGTAATCATTCCAGAGTAGTATACTTGCGGAAGAATTCATGGTTCACGAGCTTCTTCATATGGATTGCAGGCAGCGAGATGAGCAGCCGCCGGTGCCTTCCTCCTCTTGGGCTGGGGAGAATCACCGTCACACCGTTCCCATACCACGGCGGCTGCATTACCAGAGAGTAGTGTACAGTCTTTCCCCATCCAAAATCAACGCTGTACACAGGGAAACTGTGCAAGCTCGTGCTGTAGATCCCAGTCCCCGACACAAAATCACCATTTAGATTGATCTTCCTTCCTCTGCCCAGCTCCATCTCCATCCAATCGATGGCAGATTGCATGTGTTCTTGAGTGGTGCTTAGGATATCCTCGTGGAAGAGCCTCGCAGCGTAGGAGAGATGGCGGGATTTGATGTCCCCGGCCTTGGCAGTGAGGCATGGCGAGTGGATGCTGTTGCCAATGTACGAGGCTGGGACTGGGGGGTTCCAGCGGTTCTTGCCCTTGAGAGAGATCGCATAGACGTAGCTTGTGATGATCGAGTCTTGGAGATCTCTGGCCTCGGTGATGGCTTTCCAGATCATGGCGCTCGTTGCCTCGAACGAGGTTGGAGGGCGGCCATAGCTGTACGGACCACTGTGAACGTCTCGGATAAGATCGTCGACTTGGTCAGGATCCATCTCAAAAATCTTCACTACGTACTCGCACGTTACGTCGGTTGCTTTGGCCGAGTGAGTGTTATAGATCGGAGAGGAGTAGTAGTCGCGGACTGGCAGAATGATCGCTGGGGGCTGCCTGGCCTGGAAAATGTTAGAGGCAAAAACCGGAGGCCTCGAAAGCGGCAGGCCTCGGTGGATTTCGGACCAAGCATTCACAAACGCAAAGAATGAGGATCCATCCAGCACCACTTCGGCCGTTAAGATCCCTAATGCGATCCCACCACACTTGAACTTCGTCACCTAGATTCAGGAATTCCATGAAATATTGAAGAATTAACTGCGATATCAAGAAACCTGCCTGAACTTTGAAGATCGGAGCAGTGTCTGGATCCGTAATGGCCACTTCCGAAGGATTGAGATGCTGCTCGATGGAGCAAAACGCCATGTTTTTCCAATCGCTGAAGCTGGCATCGGGGGCACTCGCCTCCACAAACGAGACGCCAGCGTCGTTGCAATCCACCTCCAGCTTGTGACCATCTTCCCCCCTGCGCACTCGTCCTGCCAAGACATAAAACGGGACAAGCACTCTGGACAGCGAAGCTCTCAAGCTCTCGACAAGATCATCCCTGCTAGATGGCGGGAAATAGTAGACTTGCTTGGTGTAATTCTCAAAGGAGATGTGGAAGTCGAGATTGGAGAGCTTGTGAATCCGGGGTTGTGGAGTCGGAGTTTCGGGCTTGACAGTCCAAGACCCCAACACGGTCACAACACTGGCCATTGTTGACGAGAGAACATACGTACAACCTAAAATATATATAACACCAAATCTTTCGTGGGTTCCAGGAAATGCAAAGCCTTGAAAAAATGCGTGCGAACAATGCGTGGCGACGCACGTGGTCCATAGCCACCAACACAGATCACGACAAGGACAAAGTCAGCTTTTTTGAAAAGTTGTGTACACTGTGTACACGTTTTGCGCGTTCACTGTGCCTCCTAGCAGCTGCGGTCTGCCCCTCCCTGCCGTGTCTAAGTCGACATCTCCCCTCTGGTTCAATAGTATCGTATTTGATCATGAAATGTTTTCAGTGGAGAAACAGGACGTCGACGGATGCATGATCTATTGTGGCGCAGTCGGGTAGTCTGGGTTAGACGACAACGGATTCTTCCCAAGTGGCTTGTAATTCGAATGGCATCCGGAGAGTGGGGTATTCCTTCGTTTCGAATGCATTCTTCTGCAAAATCGAGAGAATATAAAAACAAAGAGATGAAAAGCGAGAAAAGCTTTTGTCATTGCACACCAGTTATTGGATAAAGCACATCAAACTGAGGTTCCAACTCATCGACAAAGGCAAAATTCTTCTGGAATTTGTCCTACCAACACGATGCTGGTGGACGTCCTGACCAAGGCTCTACCTCGTGTAAAGCATCAAGTCTTCCTAAAGACACTCAAGCTAGGTGATGGAAACCTTGAGGAGGAGTGTGGGAAGCACAAGGTCCACGTCACTAACCACATCACATATCCTGAGACGGCCGATGATCCCGGCAATTTCCCGTGAATTAGGGCTCTTATGCTATGGTTTTTTCATTTCGCCATAGCCCGGAATCTGTAGCAGCGGACACACACAAGAAACAAGCCAAGATCAATGGCGACGAGTGCCGCCAAGAGCCAGAAGAAGTAGTCCATATGGTGATCGATCCAGCTCCCGCGTCCGCCACCCTTGCTCGTGACCTTCTCCACCGCAAGAACAAGAACACTACTGAGATAACTCCCTAGAGCATTTGTAGCGAGCGACAGCGCACCGATCAAACTCCGCATTGCCTCGGGGGACTCCTCGTTGAAGAACTCGGTCCTCCCGGCAAACGCGAACACTCCAGCGGCGCCCACTAGAAAATACTGTGTCACCTGCCAGAGTATACTCACCTGGTGAACCATTGCGTGCGTTTCCACCACCCCCGCCACAACCATGGCCACCATCGCCAGTAAAAGCCCCAGGCCCATCCTTTGCAAGCCGGTCAACCCACTCTGTTGACCGGCCAACCTGCGAAGAACCGGGACGAGAAGCCTCTCGTAGAGCGGCACTGTGAGAATGACGGCGATGGTGTCAACTGCTGCGAGCGATGCCGGGGGCACTTTGAAGCCGGATATGCGGTTGCGCATTTCTTGCCCCTGCTGCACGAACAGCGTCGAGGTCTGGATGAAAACGGTGGAGAAGATGATGCTCGTCGCCCACACTGGCATCAAGCGGAGGATGATCTTCACCTCCTCGATCTGCGTTACCGTGCATAACCTCCATCCCGTCGGTGGTGAGTTCTCAAACGCTGTTTGCTCATCGCGAGCGATGGCTGCCGCCTTGTCGAGAAATCCGAATCCAGCAGTGTGCTGAATCTGCTTACTTCCTGGAATGCTGGAACTCTCCCCTTGTAGCTCATAGAGGGTTGCATTTGCATGCTCGACTTCTATCCTTGTACTTCTGTTTCTGGCAGTTGCAACGAAAACTTGTGCCACCCTGGTTAGCGGGCTCCCACCCGGTTGCTTGTGCTTGTACCGCGGCCAGCCCATGAGAAAGATCATGGCGGACGCCGTGACCGCCACTGTGGGGATGGCGAACCCGAGCGGCCAGCTTACTTCCTGCTGGACATATACCAGAGCTGTTCCCGCAATCAGACCTCCGATGTTGGTGAAGAAGTAGCTCCAGTTGAAGAAGCTGGCCTTGTTGCTTGCTGGATCATCAGACTCTTCCAGTTGAAAAGCACCGAATGATGAAATGCAAGACCTTGGTCCACCGGATCCCACGGCTATGACGTATAACGCTGTGTAAAGCAAGGCCGGGTTTACTGTTTTGCTGCAAGTATGTGATCCAGTGCTATGGCATGTAGGGTGTAGCAAAGTTGACAAGGTTAGCAAGATCATACCCTGTGAGTGTAAGGTTGGGCAAAGGTGAGTCTAGAGTGTCTGTGTTTCTTACCGGCAAGTAGATACCGAAAAAGGCGTTGATCGTCCGAAACTCGCCGAGGTAAGAGTCTGCAAGGAATCCACCCAGTAGAGGGGTAAGATTACAGGTTCCCATCCAGTTTGAGACTGCGTTTGCCGCACTGGCTCTGGATACGTGAAGCTTGCTAGACATGTAAATCACCATGTTTGTTACAATGGCGTAGTATGCGAGCCGTTCCATGGAGAGAGAAACTAGAAACGCAGAGAAATTAAGAAAGCCATTCAATCCTTATGGGAAACAAAGCGTACCAAGGATGAATTTGCAAGCCCACCATCCAGCAGTTCCATGGTGGATGATCATTTAGGATAAACAAAGCTATCGTAAGAACCCTAAGAACATAAAATCTTCTGCTCAGCTATTCTAAGTCTAGTCCGGTGGTTTTCGGATTCAACGAAGTAGCAAAATTCAATTTTGCGCAATAGATTGTCCTCTTAGAGGCTTGAACCACAGGACTGCCGCCTCGTCTTCCTTCCTGAAGAGCCTAACACCGTGGAAGCCAACGTTCAGAAATTTTGAACTTGAGATGAAGAATTACTCGTCGCGCCCACGCCTTTGCAGTCTCCTTTGCAGTCTCCTTGTTAATCCTTGCCAGTGGAGGACTCCACCAAAGCTCCGCCTGGCGATCCATGCAAGACGGAGCTTCTGGCGTGCTTGTTGATCTCCCGAGTGGTGACAATGGGTCAAGTACGTTGGCAATGGCAAGTGGCTCACAACCTCAATGTTTGGGTGCTTGGATCTAAAGACACTCTCCTGGGTGGTACAACTCTTGTCTGTGATCTTTGCGAGCCTTGCAAATGCCCCAAGAAGGCATCTTAGAATCTTTGGACATTCTACATTGCTCAAGCTGGATTGGATCGTTTAGCACTGCCTTCAAATCTTTCATAGCTCTTTGAGGGCTCTGACAAATGTTGGTGTAACAAACATGATAAGATCTTATGTATGGGCCTAAGCTGTGGGGAAATTTCATCTTGGTTTGTGCTCCAATAAAATAATTAAAAAAATTATTAACTTGCTTGGTGTGGAAAGCTTGTGAATCCATTTAGGGCTTTTAGGCATGTGACTAATGCTTCATTGAGTTATACATGTTTGTTGATGAAATACATGTTTGTTGATCCTTAGATCCTTAGTTGTAACACATGTTATCCCTATTAAAAAAGGTAATTGATTGATGAGAAAACCTTTAATAAATATTTTAACCCTATTTATTTTCTAAGGTTATAAAGATCTATGGTGATAATATATTTAAATCTTTATTTTATGATCATATGCACTATTTTCTTCCTAAAGGTTATTAGTGAATAATCAATGAGGATATTGACATTTATTGAGCCAATGAAAACTGATTTTCGCATTGAATCTACTAGTTATTTCAGCTCTACAAAACAAAGGATGTAATCATGGATGTTCAATATATATAATTTCAATTTTAAGGGTAAAGATATACTTTATTTAAGGATAATGATCAATTGCTCCAATATTATATATTGCCCTATCTCTTTCACTTTAAGCCAATAAAAAAATGGGCAATTTTTTAACAAGAGGGTCTTTAATATTTATTTTATCCTTATTTATCCCCCAAAGTTTTAAAAATCCACAGTGATAGTATATTTAAATTTCATCCCATGATCACATATGCTACATTAATTTAACATCATGATTTTAGTCCTATCATTTTATAAGTTTCTTAAATTGGATTTATTGGAATATCACTCAATCTCAGTATAAATCAAACTAAAGGACACTTTATAATTTAAGACCAAGTTAAAAGGATAGCAAGAAGATCTTCATTCACAATATTCATGAACTTTAATTTCATTGCCTTATCATCTATAAAATTATATTTTACAAAGATGCTAATAAATATGGTTATAATAGCTAGATCCTAAAGTTTATATCCTTTACAACTAGAAACTTTTTGCTCTTAGGATCAAACTTTTTATGTAGCTAATTTAAGATGCAAGTAAAAGTTAAACATATAGAATGTAATATGTTAGACTTCCTTTCAGACTACACTTCTTTTAGAGTCTACCTACCTTTAAACACAATAATGAGTAATTAATTTTGGACATGCATCACTATAACAAATGTTTGTTGTCAAAATTCTTTACTCAACTTCACATTAAAAAGGAGGTTATATGCTACATTCACTAATGTTTAATTCTTTCATTTAACAACTCCATTTTGATGTTGTATGTACCATGTAGTGACTTGATATTAAATCTTATATTCATGGCAAAAATCTTAAATTTCCTCTATCGATTCATAATATTTTGATTTTTCATTTAAACTTCATTTTAAAAAAAGTAATATAATGTTTCAATGCTTCCATAATTTCATCCTTTCCACATGAAGAATATGCAAATTTTGTGGCTAAAGTCATTAATGACAGTCCATGAAGTACTTTGCACCAAAATGGCTAAGAATATCCATCAACCCTCAATGGTGCAGAAGACTTACAAAAGTTTTATATGATTGTACCCTTGAGATCCAAACCCTTCACCATATGCTTTGCAACTGCAAAACTTTGTGATTCATGTGTCTAAAGCAATAATGCTAAAGATGATTTTTGTCATTAGACACTTACTTAACATTTGTAACTTGCTACTTGTGAGAGGACACTTCATACCCACAGAATAATTTCTTCTCAATAAGTCAAAAGGTGTGTTTATCTATGAAGAAATATTCACTATCAAATATCAATACAATGTTGTTAATGCACTTTAGCTAGTGATATTTAGACATTCCTTGCTTAAATAGCCTTTATATTTTCTATTATATAGATGCTAACAAGATTGGAAGACGAGAAAGCATGTATTTAGGAGAAAGGATGCAAGGTAGAAGAGAAGAAGGTGAAGGTGGTTGAGAAAGCTTGTATTATAGAAGAGAAAAAGGTTGAAAATTTTTGCTGTGCACAAGAAAAAGAAGATAAAGTGACAAGAAAAAAAGCATTTACCTGAAGAGAAGAAAGGGGAGGCAATCAAAAAGAAAATGCTAACTAAAGTGAAGCAATTGAAAGACAACTACCTCAGAAATGCAGCCTTGAAGAAACCAAAACGAAGGCACATCTTGCAGATTCTGGATTCCCCTGAAGAATGGAAGGCAACTTGTACTGCTTAAGAGGTATGAGTTCAGCCAAATTTAGAAATCTATTAATGACTTTCTTGGAGTTCCAAACAAACCCATCTGGATTTCTTCACTATTTTTCAGCCAAATCTATCAAAATTTACCTATTCTTAGTAGTCTTTCTTGATGGATCTTCATTTAGGGCATAGCCAAGAGCTTGCCACGCGCCATCACGGGCCAAGAGGCAATCATAAGTTATGGCCAAAGAACAATAGTTTTCCTATTAAATATCTTTTTAATCAAATATCAAACCATTCTTAAAATTAAACATGGCCCAGAATAACGGCTGTTTCTTGTCTCACAGGGATCTTACAGTTGGGAGTTCCCTGTTTGCAGTCAACCTAATCAGACATGGCACAGAAGCCCATGCCAAGCCAAAGAAGCTCTCTTCAGCACAAAAGTTATATCACAGACCAATACTTAGTGAATTAAATACAAAACATAGATGTTTGTAGAGTAATTATATTTGTGTAATGTCAGGCGGCAAACTCAAGTTCTGCTCCTCTGACAAGGGGTGGGTTAAAATCCCACTTCTGACAAGTTTCTTTGACTTTGAATCGGTGGAACCGTCAATTCCATGTCACAAACAAATTATTCGACATAAAGTACGAAACTGGGAAGAGATTACTAGCCAGCTCACGCAAAAAAAAATTATTTTGAGGGCGTGGGGTGAGCTCGAAGCAGCAATGAACCCACCATCCCGCCAACCGTTGTGCTGAAGAACAGATCCGGAGCTACATTGGCTTTGCTCGGTTGTGTATTTAAGACTGACAAGTTAATAAGCAGAGAGAAAATTGAAGTCGAATGACTAGAATCTAGATATTATCCTCAACAAAAGGTACGCATGAGGTGGCCTCAGTAACGTGGCTAGTTTCAGGGCGGTGCCATCATCTGTTCAAACCTCAAAACTCAACTCAACTGTTGAAAATTGTGTGGCAGAGTTAAAAATTTTTGAGACAACAGGTGAATTTTTATGTCACTAAACAGATTAAGGAGACAAGGTGTCAAACACATTGAACGAGATTCCTTATTCGAATCATACAGATAGTAGTTACTACAGGATTACACGAGAGAGATCCCAATTACCTAGGGTGAAGCACAGCGGATTCTAGAGCAAGTCCCTTGTAATTCCTCGACCGTGCTTTGGAGGCGAGGACAGTAGTCCGCCTTGGGTCTGAGCGCAGGGCAACAGGCACAGATATTCCCGCCTCTACGACAAGGAATTGGAAGCGAATCGATGCAGCCCTGAGCCGATGCCTGATTGTTGCCAACAAGGACAAGCAACAGGAAACATATTGCAGCAACAAGACTTGCCAAATGTGAAGCCCTCATCTTTTGCTACACAGAGGAGTTTCACAATGGGACTTGGAGTATTTAAAGAAACTTTGAGCCGCCTCTATAGACTTTGGCAACTCTCCCGTCAAGTCAAGTTACGCCGCCACGTCGTTTAAACCATTTAGTCAACAAAGTCAGCGCTACTAGTCCAGGGTTCGAATCCCTACGCCCCAGCGTAAGAACCCTAGTCACACCACGATGAAGGCGCCTATCGCGCTCGCGAGGGGCGGGGGATTGGGGCTGGCGGCTGTCGCCTACATTCTCGTGGATTATCTCCGTGTCGTGGCGCCGGGGCTGCACGACGCGCTGCGGCCGATTCTCTGGGGATCGCTCGCGCTTGGAGCTGCATCGCGAGCTCCGTGGTACCCTCACTGGCCCGCGGAGATCCGGAGCGCGCTTCTCTTCGTCGCCTGCCTTGTTTTCATGCTCTCCTGCCTCGTCGTCGAGGCGATCTCTGTCCAGTTCGTGACGAGCGTCCTCGGGCTGGATTGGCACGGGTAAGAAACTATAGGCAGAAGCGAAATATTTGTGGTCTGATGGCTATGCGTTTTGCCAGATCCGCGAAACCTCTACCGGATATGGGGCAGTGGCTCTTGCTGGCTCTCAACGAGCGCCTCCCGGGATTTCTCGTCGAGGTTCTGCGAGCACCGATCATAGGTTTGCACCATTACCTCATGCTCTTTATAATGCTGGGATTCTCCGTGCTCTTTGGATGCGTTAGAGCTCCGGGGCTCGCGCTGGGTGCCAGATATCTTTTCACAATGGGTGTTGGAAGGCTTCTCAGGGTGGTCACGTTTCTCGGGACTATACTCCCTTCTGCGAGGCCCTGGTGTGCTAGAGCAAGATTTAGAGTCCCTGACCATCCTCATCCTTGGGCACAGAAATACTATGTTCCTTACTCTTCTGATCCAAGCGCGATCGCTCGGCTCCTACGTGAAGACTCGGCCTACGGTAGGAGAAGAGTGTTCCTTGTTTCCGTCTTAATGGTGTATTTTTTTCCGCAGATCAAGCAGCTGAGTACCCAGCTGAGTACGTTCCAAACTGGGGACGAATGCATTTCCTAGCCAACTTTCTCAGGCCGGTTGATCCAAATGCCGCCAACTTCAAAGAGGAATCCTGGTTCAACACTTTGAAGAGAGCTGGAGGAGGCTGCAACGATCTCGTTTTCAGCGGCCACATTCTCGTTTCAGTGCTCACTGCCATGGCATGGACTGTAAGTACAAGGATCAATTTTTATTTTTTTTCCATGTTTTCTTGTTCTCAAGTGACTACCCTCTCAGGAAGCCTACCCGGGATGGTCTTCGGTTTTCATCTGGCTTCTTGTCGCACACTCGTCGCAGCGAGAGATACGAGAGCGGCATCACTACAGTGTGGATGTCGTGTCTGGCATCTATGTGGGGATTCTACTCTGGAGGACAACTGGTTTCATCTGGTCAGCTGTAGACAGGCATTGGTCTCGTGGAGTGGATCTGGAACTGACGCAGATCGAGGACGGACTGGCCAAGGCCGCCAAGGATGCAGACCTGGACAAGATCCGGGTTCTAGTTGAGCAGCTTCAGTCGCTCAGACAGGGAAAGGAATCAAGCCAGCCGAAGAAGTCCGAGCCTTCACAGCGAGTACTTTGGGTGTTTGGAGGCAGTATTCTAGTGTCTACTTTAGGCTTGGTGCTGCTAGCATTCAGCTGGACTGCAGACGGGTAGGAAACAAACGGCACTACAGGGTCTAGGGTAATGGCAGTTCTCGGCTTCTGATCGAAGCCCATGCTGGGATGCACTGCCGGAGGTTTGGTTCTCTGAAAGACCCAAGAGCAAAGATATCCAAGTTGCTGGCTGCGCTTAAAGAGTCTACTAGAGCAAGGGATTTGGAAAGAGGCAAGATAATCCATGCAGAAGCCGCTGAGACAGGAGAGGAGTTGAACACGTTCGTGGCTAGCTCGCTCATCAATATGTATGCCAAATGTGGGAGCATGGAGGATGCTCGCAAGGTCTTTGATAAGTCTTCTCCACAGGACGTGTTTCTATGGACAGCGCTGTTGTCTGGGTATGTTGAAAGCGGGGAAGCCGAGATAGCTCTGGGGTTGTTCTCGCGGATGAAGGCAAGCAGGTGTGAACCGAGTGGCCATACTTACGCTGCAGTTCTCAAGGCCTGCTCCAGCGTAGCTAGCAAAGAAGTTGGCAGTCAAGTCGAAGGAAGGGTCGTGAAGCTTGCTGCTTTGCGGCAAGGGATGGGTGTTCATCGCGAAGCTGCCAAGAGAGGCTGCGTTGATATGGTGGTGGCGAATATGTTGGTGGATACGTATGCAAGATGTGGGAGCTTGTGGGACTCTCGAGGTGTTTTTGACCAGATGCGATATCACGATGTGGTGTCGTGGACGTCACTGGTCTGGGGTTATGCACAACATGAGGAGTTTGAAGTGGCCTTGGAACTCTTCTCGTGCATGATGACAACAAGGTGTGTACCGAATGCTCGTTCTTTTGTGGTCGCGCTAAAGGCGTGCTCTGGTATGGCAGTGAACAAAGACTCCAAGCAGGAAACGCTGGAAACAGGAAGAGCTATTCACTCACACGCAACAAAGTTGGGATTGGACTCTGAGGTAGCCGTGCGGAGCTGCTTAATCGAGATGTACTTTCAGTGTGGAAGCGTGGAGGATGCTCGGAAAGTCTTCGAGAGTACTCAGAACCATGACGTCGCGTCATGGAACACAATGCTGCTGGGATATGCTCGGGATGGTGAGGAAGAAGCGGCTTTCCAGCTATTCGAGCGGATGAAGTCAACTGGCATACATCCAAACTCTCAGACGTATTTGGCTGCACTCAGAGCCTGCACAAACGTCATAGCAAGAGAAGAAGCGAAGCAGGGCGACTTGAAGGTGGTGGCTTTGGCGAAAGGCATTGAGATTCACTCGGGAGCCGAGAAGAATGGACTCGTCTCAGACAAGCTGGTGGCAAGCAGTCTCATCGACATGTACGCGAAATGCGGGGAGATGAGGGAGGCTCGGCGTACTTTCGACCGTTTACAGCAGCGTGACGTGGTGGTGTGGACGACTTTGATACTGGGATACACTCAGAACGGTCAGCCGCAGTTAGCTCTTCATCTGTACGAGCAGATGCTTGAGACGGGAGGCTGTGTACCGGATTCCCAATGCTTCGTTGCGGCACTCAAGGCGTGTATTCTCCTCGCGACGAAAAACGAGCAGTCTTCAAAGGCTTTATCTCTGGAGAAAGGCTCGTTTATCGGCTCTCAAGCTGCGAAAGCTGGCTGTGAGTCCGATGCGTTTGTGGGAGCCGCGCTGGTCGACTTGTACACAAGGTGTGGCAGCATGGACAATGCTCGGCACGTCTTCGACAAGCTGCACAGTCCCGGTGCGGTCTCCTGGACGTCGATGATAGCTGGATATGCTCAGAAGGGACAGTGCGAGGTGGCTATCCAGGAATTCTATCGGATGCAACTGGAGGGCTGTTTACCAGTGACGCAGACTTACATTGCGGCACTCAAGGCATGCAGTGGCCAGGCAGTGAAGGAAGAGAGCAGGCGCGAAGATGGAAGGCTTCTCAAAGTCCAGTCTTTGAAACGAACCAGGGTGGTACACTCCCAAGCTACAGCCACAGGATTCGGCCTCGACGCTTACGTTGCAAGCACGCTGGTGGATTCGTACTCGAAGTGTGGGAGCATGTTCGATGCGCACAGAGTCTGTGCCAGCACTGAGGACAGCGTGGTTGCTTGGACGGCTTTGGTCCTCGGCTACGTCCAAAACTCGGACAGTGAAGCGGCTCTGGAAGCGTTTGCAGAGATGCGATCCCGAGGCTGTCAACCGGACTCCCAGCTCCTGGGTGCCGTGCTCAAGGCCTGCAGCGACGTTGCAGCGGTGGAAGGCGGCAGAGAAGTCCATGCATTGGTTCTCAGGCGTGGATTCGAGAGCAATGCCGAGATCACGAACGCTCTGGTGGACCTGTATGGGAAGTCCGGATTGATGCTGGAAGCTCAGCACCTCTTCGACTCCATCCCGGCATGCAAAAGCATCGAGACTTGGACGACGCTGATGGGAGGTTACAGCCGGCTGGGAGACGCAAATCGTGTCTTTGATCTCCTTCACGCGATCCAGGAGAGCGGAGTGAAGCCGGACGGGATCACTTTCACGTATGTGCTCGCGGCTTGCAGCCATGCCGGGCTAGTCCGCCAGGGAACCGACTATTTCCGGCTCATGGTTTCCAAGTACCGCGTGGAGGCCGAGCTGGAACACTACCACGGCATGATCGATTTGCTTGGGCGAGCTAACCGATTGGAGGAGGCTGTAGAGGTGGTGAGATCGATGCGGCTCCAGCCAACGGCAGTGACTTGGATGACGCTGCTGAGCTCGTGCAAGAAGTGGAAGAACGTTTGCATCGCGGAGCTCGCGTTCGGATCGCTGCTGGAGCTCGACCAGAGGCACGCCGCGGCTCACGTCTTGATGGGAAACATCTATGCGAGCGTGGGGATGTGGGAAAAGAAGCACAAAATACTTCATTCTGGTTTAGCTCAAGACGGCTAGAACTCGATCATCACGTCTATGCGATCACCACCGGAAAAACGAGCATCATGATCTGATCCATCTTACATTGGCTCTACCATCTCTCTGAAGATGAAAAAGAAAAACCATTAAACTACTTTTGTCAGGAGTGGGATTTGAACCCACGCCCTCGCTATCCTGACATTACATAACATAATTAATCTGCTAGAAGGACAATTGTACGCATGCGTACTCTAAATTTGTATGTAAGGCCTAGCAATCCATTAGGCCCGCCACTTTTCACATTTGCATTGTCTTCTTCTTCTTCGTCTTCAAGTAGAAGGAAGCTCTCAAGTTTGGAAGGAGGCAACGTCAAGGTGGATGGGGATTCAGTAGCTGTAGAACCAGCCTTTTGTTTTAGTGATATAAACCTTACAGAGATGGACGATTGGAGGAAGGAAGTCATGGCTCGAACATCAATAATAATAACAGTATCAACATTATTATTAATTTCTTCTGCAAGACACGAGGCTAAAGATCATGATCACAAGGACAAGGATTATGGACACGAGGAGGAAGACAAGAGAGAAAATCCGTAGAATGTTATTCTCAGTACACGTTATCATCAGTACACACGATCCAGTGAGTAATAAAAAAGTCTGAACGCATTATATATACAAATCAGCATCGCTGATTTATAGAAAGAATTTAAGTAAATTTTATATCGATAGCAATATTTAAATACTCGACTTTAAGAATATAATATAATATATCTTTGCTTTGTTACAGCTTCCTGGAGATCCCATCTGCAGACCTTCGTCGAGAGATCAGGCTCCAGTCCATGGCGCAAAACAACATGAAAACATTGCGGGATTCGAATGGCACTCAAACCGGTGAACGGCCGTATGCGCAATATTTAAATACTTGAGAAGGATTAAGAATGTTTGTGCATGTTTGACAACAATACATATGGCCCAGAGCTGCTGGGATCGACCACCAGAGCATTTGCAGCGGCAAAACTCCTGGTTCGAGCCCCGGAACTCTTGCAGCTATCGAGAAAGCTCGTCCAAGCAGCAAAATCCGGCTCGAAAGGCATGCTGGCCATGAGATCCTCGGCCTCCGTCAGCCTCCCGGCCCGCCCCAGCAGATCAACCACGCAAGCATAGTGATCCACCCCGGGAACTACGCCGTGATCCCCGATCATCCCCACGAAGCAGCTCCACACGTCCTCAAGGAGCCCTGCGTGGCCGCAGCAGCACAAGACACTCACGAAAGTTATCTCGTTTGGCGCCACCCCGTCCGCCACCATTTCCCGAAACACCGCCACCCCAAAACCCGCGAGCTCGTTCCGCGCAAACGCGGCGATGAGCGCGTTCCACAGCGCGGCGTCTCGTAGCGGGCCGGTACGGAAGGCCTCGGCCGCGTCCGGCAGCGCGCCGGAGCGGCCGTACGCGTGGACCAGCGCGCTGGCCACGGCGCCGTTGGATTGGAATCCGGCGTCGACGATCCCGTCGTGGACGGTGCGGATGGACTCGAGGCTGACGCACGCGTCCACCGCGCTGACGTACGTCACCGCGCTGGGTTTGAGGCCGAGGACGTCCATCTCGGCCAGCACCGCCAGCGCCTCCTTGCCATGCCCGTTCTGCGAATATGCCGTCAGCATCGCGCTCCAGGCGATGACGTCCGGCAAGGATATTCCGTCAAACACTTCCCGCGCGGTGTCAATACGGCCGCACCTGCCGTACATCGTCACCACCGCGGTGGCCAGGATGACGCTGGGCGGGAGGAGCGCGGCGCTGTGGGCTTGGGCGAGCTTGCCCTGCGCGAGATTGGAGGAATTCGCGCAAGCGTCCATGACGCTCACGAATGTCACCACGTTTGGCCGCTGGGATCCTTCCAGATTCATCGCCCAGAACGTCTCCAGCGCCATTGCGGGATCCACGCGCGCGCGCGCGGAGATCATCACGTTCCAGGACATTGTGTTGCGGCGGTGGCGATCGCCCAGCGCCGCGAACATCGCCTCCGCAGCCGCAAGCTCCCCGCACTCGCCATAGAGGTGGAGCAGCGCGTTGGCGACAATCATCTCGCCCGCAAGCCCAGCTTCAATCGCGATGGCATGGGCTCCAATCCCAGCATCTAGATCGCCAGCGCTCGCCGCGGCATCCAGCACACAGATGATCGTGATGGCGCTAGCCTGAATTCCCTCCGAATTCATCCCGAAGAAGAGCTCCAGCGCCTCCCGATGGTTCCCCTGCTGCGCGTTCGCGGACAGGATAGCATTCCACGACACCACATTCCTCTCGGGCATCGCGGCAAAGGTCTCCCTCGCCTCCGCAAGGTGCCCGTTCTGGGCATACGCCGTAAGAACAGCAGTCCATCCAATGACCGTTTTCTCTTCAAGAGAATCAAACGCGCGGCGAGCTTCCTCCACTCCGCCACACTTCCCATACATGTTGACGATCGAGTTTCTGATTTTGGAGTCCGATCCACATCTCTCCTCGATCACAATCTCGTGGATCTCTCGTGCCAGTTCCAGGCATCCTTGTCGAGCGCAAGCGTCTAGCATCGCCAGGAACGTCACGGCATCAGCTCGCACGCCGTCCAGGTCCATCCGGCAGAAAAGATCGATCGCCTCGCCGCAGTGGCCGCGCCGAGCGTAGCCCCCGATGATCGAGTTCCAGGCCACCACGTCGCGACTCGGCATCGCATCAAACACCGCCCTGGCGTCGCAGAGATCGCTGGCCTGGACGTGCGCCGCCACCAGGATCGTCCACGAGTAGATGTTTGGCGAGGCGATGGCAGCGAAGGCGGCGCGCGCGTCTTCGATGCTCCCACATTTGCCATACATCTGGACGAGAAGATTGCCGAGGAATGGGCGGCGATGGTGTCCGCTGGCAGTGATCTGGGCGTGGAGCAACCGGAGGGTGGCGAGGTCGCTGCATTGGCGGATATTGGAGGCAAAGTCTTGCTTCTTTGCCTCGTCCTGGCACGAGAAAACATTAAAACTTTTAATGGATTTGGAGCAGAGCTTACTCTAGGATGGGCCTCAGTTCCTCCTGCTGTCCTCGTACCAACAATCAAACTAAGCATGACAATGATCTACCAAGAAACATCGTGGAGTGCAGTTTCAATCACATCGCCCCCTATGAAACATGATGTGACCAATTATACAAAATGTTTTACATAGCTGTCCTGACATGAGCACCACAAATAAATAAAAAAATCGAACGCCATCCCTACTGTAAACAATCTTATATGTATTTTTCTATTATATCCATAGTTTATGGATGTAATCAGTTCCCAGCCACCAAGGAGCCATAGCTTTTGCCGTATTGACTTTTGGTCCAAAGGGATGTTTGAGTTTGGAAACATCATTGATACCAATGTTCTCGAAGCAAGGAGAACATTCGTTTATTGTCATAAGCATGACTGATTGGTTTATCTTCTAGAGTGTTCTGCATCTGGTCGTGTTTCTCGTCACCAGCCCTTTCTCGCCTGCCCTATAAAGATTGTGCCGAGTCATTGATAGCTACGGCTGGGCCGAGCGAGAGAAGGAGTCAAGAAATTCTGGAAGGTCGGCGTCTACCATCCAAATAAAACCTTCAAAAGCAAAATCTCAGTAGAACAAGTCGCTGAACAAACACAGCGCCAAACAAGAATCATAACACAGCTGTGGTGAACTTCTGAAAGAGCTCGTTCTCGCACAGCTTGCGCATCTCTTCCCGGGGCAATGATACGAGCAATCGTCTGCTCCGGCCGCCCTTGGGCGTCGGAAGGACAATTGCGACCCCATTCCCATACCACGGCTGCATGACAAGCGAATAATGCACGGGCCTCCCCATGCCAAGGTCAACTCCATAGACCGGAAACGTGTGCAAGCTGGTGCTGTAGACCCCGGTTCCTCCCACAAAGTCACAGTTGAAGTTGATCTTGCGGCCGCGAATGATCTCCAGCTCCATCCAGTCGATGGCCGACTGGATATGCTCGGGCGTGGTGGTTCGAATATCCTGCCGGAAGAGCCGTGCCACGTACGAGACATGGTTGGACTTGATCTCTCCGGCGCTGGCTGACAGGCAAGGCGAGTGAGCCGAGTTGCCAATGTACGCGGCTGGGATTGGGGGGTTCCATCGGTTCTTGGCCTTGAGCGAGATGGCGTAGACGTAGGTGGTGAGAGTGGAGTCGGGGAGGCCTCGCGCCTCGGTCATGGCCTTCCAGATCATGGCGCAGGTGGCCTCGAACGAGCTCGGGGTGTCGAATCCGAAGGGGCCGGACTGGATCTCGCGGATAAGGCTGTCCACTTGCGGGGGATCCATCTCGAAGAGCTTGACGAGTGTCGGCTTGGCGGAGGCATTGTGTTCTTGGCTGGACTTGCCCATGGCATCAGTGGATGGCTTGGGCGACGATGTGTAGTCCCGGACTGGGATGGTGATTTGTGGCGGCTCCCGGGCTTTGAGGAGAGAGGAATCGAAGACTGGGGGAGTGAGATCTCGCGGGGAGGAGCCCTTGTGGATCTGTGACCAGCATCGCATGAATTCGAAGTAGGAAGATCCGTCGACGATGAGCTCGGCGGTCACAACTCCCAGCGCAATGCCGCCGCAGTTGAATCTCGTCAGCTGCAAATCGGAGTTAAAACAGAGTTGTCCTCCTTAAGGCTAACCTGGAATTTGAGAAGCGGCGAGTCGACCGGATTGGTGATGTAAGTCTCACCGGGATTCAATTCGTGCTCAATCGAGCAGCGGGCGAGATCGCCCCAGTCGCTGAAACTTGCGTCGGCGGTGGCGACAAGAAATGGCACCCCTCGATCGTTGCACTCGATTTCCAGCCGAGGTCCATTCTCGCGGACTCTGCCTGCAAACACATTGAACAAGACCAGAGTTTGCGACAGCGATGCCTTCAAGCTGCTCGCGATCTCCTCGATCGGTTTCTCGTGCTGAGGGTCATCAATTGGGGCTGGCGGCGGGAAGTAGTAGACTTGCTTGGTGTAGTAATCGAAGGAGACATGGAGATCGAGATTGGAAAGCTTGTGAATTCGATTCATGGGCAAAGTGGGAGTGGCTGGAGTGACAGTGGAGACCAACAACATGCTCACAACACCCATCTCTCTCTCTCTCTCTCTCTCTCTCTCTCTCTAACCAATAAGGGTTTTGTTGTACACGCGTTTCCCGTGGGTTCTTCTATAAATTGGCAGAAATGCTAGAACAAATTCAATATTCAAAAGACCAAAAGGAAATCTTCAGACAATGCGAATCTTTGTGTTGTTGTGTTAACTCGAAGTTTGATATTACGAGAAAACCTTTTGTGCAGTGGCAAATGCCCATGGTGAGCGCATTTTGCGTTATCCAAAATGCTCAGATGAAAACTCAAACTACAAAGAAATAAAACAAAGCAATTCTTGTGACGCAAGAGGGATTCTTTGCAGTTTGTGATCCTCGTTTTCCATTCTACTAGACATATAGGGACTATACATATGTTTATCAAACTTAATATGTACACCCAATTATCAGAGCTTTGATTGATGATGAGAAGGCTGGTCCATTGCCATCTTAAGAGTAGAATTTTCAGGAAGAATTAGTGTTAACCAATAAAAATTTGTAATACTGTACATAATTACACAAAAAACTATATTTATAATATCTGCCCCTTAACACTGAGTGCAATTGCAACAGGCAACTTCCAAATACTTCGTGTTGTAAAACAGACTAGATCTTTAAAGCTTTAAATTTAACTTTTAGACTTTAACACTATAATCAGCCATAATAAATTAAAAATATCAATAAATTGATATCCAATATTTCTGAACACTATCATACAGTTCTTGGTTGCTATTGATGGCTTAGCAAAGATTGAAATTTGCTACACATGTTTAGTGTTTTATTTATTTTTTACTTGCCTAATAGTCACAATAACTATTACTTGTAGGGCCTCGTTTAAGCCAAACATTGTAAGTTATTTAATATGTTTTTATTGCTCAGACAAATAATGCTAATAACCATTAATTGAAATAGAACCTCCTTGTCTAATCAATAGGACATATATTCTTGATAGTTTATATTCTTTATTGGAAGGTCCTTATGGAAAATGACCCTCCATCCTTCTTTTAAGAGTACTATCAAGGGGTTCACTTGATACAAATTCATCTAATATTTTAAAAAATATCAATAGTAAATTTTATTTAATTTCATAATTTAAAAAAACTAGATAAATTTCTTATATATAGTTTATAAAAAATTCTTGATAAATTAAATTTAAAGTATAAATTTAGGATATTTTGTAATATAAAATTCTCTAGATTTACTTATTAATCTTGAAATTAATTTTAATAAATACTAATTTAACATGGATATGAATTTGAAGACCATCTTCTAATAGGTCTGGGATTTACAGAAAATGTTTTCTGACGTAATTCATATAAAACTAATTCACAATTATTTTGAACTGATAAGTATGTTTCTGTAACACAATCATCATGTGGTCCACAATATATATTTGGAGACCAAATTACCTCACCATTATTTTTATAATATACTAAATTTCCATCTTTTTGAACTCTAAGTTCACAATCAAAAGATGATACTTCTGGTTGTTTAAACCATTTAATATTGTTACCACTATATAGTGCCAATAAACAATTTGAGTGCAAATAAAGATATACTTTTTTATTAGAAGATTGTAAAAATTGAGTGCTTTTCAAAAAATGATTAGGCATAGTACTAAATAGTGTTGTTAAATAAATTATACAACCATCTTTAAATTGACTAAGAAAATTTTTCGGTACCATTTCCTGTAAATCAGGAATTTTATACAAACTTGTAACAACATAATGAATAGCAAAATAATCAGATATTATAGTTACAAAAGATGATTTTAATTCTTGTATAGAATGATAATAAGTATTAATTAGATCCTTAAACTCTTTTATAACATTTTCTTCATTAACATATTTATTCCCACGATATGCAACACATGTACTTAAGTCACTAAGTCTATCAAATATCCAAAACTGATTAATTAAATTTAAATTTCCAAGCCTTTCATCTAATAAACTATATTCAAAACTCATACTTTGACCTGTAGGTACTACTTGAAAATCAATTTTTGAAATCATCATATTTAATGTTAATAGAATTATCTCTACACTTTCAGGTTGTAAGATATTTAAGTTTCCTGAAAAGATAAGTGTTAACACAAATTTTGGTAACAAAATAAAAATTAAAGTTTTATTTATAAACATTTTTGCATTGATTCTTGAAATATCTCTTAAATTTATATATTGTTTTTATATTTAATATTTTATTAAATATAATCATGACAAATCATAAAAGCTGGATTAAATATAATATTAAATTCTTTTCTTCCAGGTGGAGACATGTTAGAATTTTGTTGTAATGCAAAGTATATCCTAGAGAGTTTTGCAAAGACCGAGGTCTATGACAGCTGCAAGAGAATAATCTAATTATATATAATGAGGATGCTTTAAATTTAATTTTAAATATTTTAAAATTAGAATAATTTATTTAAATTTTATAAAAAATAAAATTATAATATAACTTTATGAGTGCATGGAATATGGAAATGGAATACAGAAATATACATATCAATTAGCTCAAAATTTCTAACTTATATACAAGAGTAAGTGGTCTAGATTAAAACCAATCTAACAGCTATCAAAATCCTACTATACTAATATTGATATATAGTATCATAGCCATACACTTAGACCTCACATCATCCCCTCATTTGAAAATGATAAAAGACAATTAAGGTTTTCTAATAGATGGGTTGAGATTTGGAGGAACATAAGGAGGAGGCATTGATGGATTTGTAAGTGTGGTAATTGTTCATGATCCTTTTATATAAAGTGTTAATTGTTACATATACACAATTTCTAGAGGATCAGCTTGTTGGATGTTATGTTGAACCTTATGAACATGTGGTTCAACTTAGCACAACACCTGATATAGCCCTTTCTACTAAGTAGGGAGCCCTTTGAACGATGTATTATAAACTTGGGAAAATGGATTAAAACAAAATCATTCACTTTGTACTTTGTAAATGGATGATAATAGAAGTTATAATGTTGTTGTTGTCCCATTTGTATACAACTCAAGTATTTGGCAAACTTTGCTCAAACTAATGGAAGAATGTTTGTCAAATACTCTTGAAATAATCTTGAAATATTTTTTTAATTTATTTAATGTTTTTATATTTATTACTTTATTAAATATAAACTTGAAAATCATAAAATCTGGATTAAATATAATATTAAATTCTTTTCTTTCAATTGGAGATATGTTAGAATTTTGTCATAATGCAAAGTATATCCTAGAGAGTTTTGCAAAGATAATTATATATAATAAAGAAACTTTAGTTTAGTTTAGTTTAGTTTCAAATATTTTAAAGTTATTATAGTTTATTTAAATTTTAAAAATAAAAATATAATATAACTTTGCGAGTGCATGGAATTCAGAAATAGAATATAGAAATATGCATATCAATTAGCCCAAAAACCCTAAGTTATATACAAGAGCAAGTGGTCCAGATTGAAATCAATCCAATAGCTATCAAAATCCCACTACAGTTATACAACATTGTAATTATACACTTAGACCTTACATCCTTTTGGAATGATAGAAGATAGTTAGGGTTTCTAGTGGATTGGCTAGGATCTAAAGGAACATCAGAAGGAGGCATTGGTGGATCTGTAAGTGGTGCCAATTATTCCTAATCCCTTTGTATGAAGTGTTTTAGTCATTGCACATGCACAATTTCTGAAGGATGCTTATTAGACGTTATATTGAACCTTATAAATTTGTGATCCAACTTGCTACAACACTCAATACGGTCCCTTCCACTAATCAAGGAGCCCCTTAGACAAACCATATACCCTAAAATTGGGAAAATAAATTAACACTAAATCATCTATTTTATACTCTATAGGTGGACGATGTAGTGCCGTTGTCCCATTTGTATGTAGCCCAGATGTTCAACAAACTTTACTCAGACAAGTGGAAGAATGCTTATTAAATACTAATCCCAAGACCTAGTATCAACAGCTTGTGGCAATTGCAAAGGTAAACTCAACTTCGTTAGTAGTATCGCATCATAACTATATATGTAACATACATGGTTTTCACCCTTTATCCTATAATGGTTTACTATAGGATAACCATAAAACAGAACCTAAACCCTTTATGTGCCATATGTCACATGTCCAATGATAGTAGAGTGGAATTTGAGTTTTAGGGCCTTGGGGCATTGAATGAAAGAACGGAGCCAAATTCCCAAGCTTGTAGCTAAGGAGCAAAGGAATTGGAGCATAGAATGACTCTTAAGTATTCAACCTAAGGAATGAAAGGACAGAAGCATGGAGCAATGTTGGAATAGTTTTAGAGCTTTTAGTATCTTAATGTCAGGACTAACACATAAAACAGAGCTAAATGGAGTTTGGTGTTATTTTAGCATATTAGTGGCCTAATGCGAGGATATAAATACTTCACCAATTAGCATGTTATGGAACTTGGGCTTAGACCCAAGCTAAATACCCACTATCCCTACTATATATTTGGAACCCCCTACAGCACCCCCCACCCCTTTGAGGAACATATGCTTTGGGCTTTCAACCTAGCCACCCTTAGTATTAGGAGTTAGTCTTTAGGAGAAGCTCAAAATTTATTAAATATGGAATGTCTCTAAATTGTGAATTTGGACACAGGACCAACACCATTGTGTTTAGGACAACATTTTACATTCCGTAAATATGCTAAATATAGACACTTTCCATAAATAGCAATTAGGACTGAATAGGACTAACACAAAGGGCATGATAGCAAGGGTGTTTAACAGATACAGTAAGTTATCATTTAGTGAATATTGATTTTAATATCGTAGGGTTCTTGTTAAACAAGTGTAGAATAGAGCAAAAGAGAACTAAGAGCTAACCGAGTATGCTTAGAAAGAAACACATAAGAGTTTCTACTTTATGTTCATCTAGCTAAGTACAAATGTTAAGTCAAGTTTACTAACACTTAAACAAAAGGGACTGATAAAGGAATTAGCAATACCAACCTTTTGCCGTTGTGGCAGTAAGGAAATATTATTTAAAAGGACTCGCCGATAAATAATTTTTGATACCCAAAGTCATATTCGTGACTATATAAGAATTTATATGGTGAAGCACTAATATAACTTTGCACCCTTGT